AATAAATATGGATAACAGCAAATGGTGTGTCTTTAAAATACGGGCAAACAGCACAAATGACCGAAGGTGAATCAAAGCCAAATTTCCAAGCATGTGGGTCCTATGCTGCCTGTGGAAAGCATTCAACATGAGTGTATTCAAAAGACAACATTTTATAAATTACCAGCGACTGACTTCCACAGTCAAGACCATTTAAATAGGGGTGCGCAGTGTTAATTCAAACATATATCGACTTAAACAAAAACAACTTTACTGAAACTTTTTAATTTAAGGTCAACCATCACAAAAGGGGGCGTTAATATTTACCATTAAATATTTAATTTAACAGTGAACGTATATATTTAAAAAAATCACAAAACATACTTTTGAAAACAAATCACGTGTCCAGAATTCTGGAGTTAAATACTGTTGTTATTTTTTTGTTTTGTAATTCAAGAGAACGGCTTGAATATTGGATCGGTGATTGACATTTAGACTAAAGGAAACCAGGCTTTAAGCTCTCAGCATCACCACGAATCCAATCCAACCGCCACAAACACCACACGTGCGCAAACATGAGCAAGCGACAGCACCTGGCGACATGACACAGAGTGAAACGAGTGTACTTGAGGTCTGTTGAAAATTAGAGGGATTGTAGTTGGGATACATTTTTTGGTCTCTAGGAGGCATTGGTAATCAGGTAGCGATTTTATTAGTAGCAAGTAAGTAGAGGTCTGTTGAGTGTAACAGTGCTTTAATTTGACATACCAGTGACAAAATGTATACCTGTATTTATATTATTATTTAATAAGACCATCCTCCACTTAACTCTATCTCCTTTCCCGTTGGGTTCAAACTTAGCTAAAAAAAAACAAGAAATTATTTTAGCATTGCCAATTCATCTTTCTCTCCTTTATGATCATGCCACCTTGCTCCGTGAAATTCCTCACACCTTGCGATATTTTTTAACGGAAACAAAAAATCAGTTTTCAAATCCCTCTTGTAGGGTGATCAAGGAGACGAAGACGATGGCAGTGCACAGGCGGCGAGAGAGAAACACGCTTGAGGGATCGTTGAGCGCTTTCGACATTTCGAACGCGACGTTTGCCACCGCGCGGTAAATCCCCGCAAGACCGAGTCTCGTGTGTTTGTTTCGTTTCGCTCTGCTACGCGACGTGCGTATTCTTCTCAGCGCCGTCCGTCCCAGAAGCGGGCGACACACTCCGGCGAGCACATCAGCAAACGCGCGGTCGCTGGACACCAATCCTCGTGTTTCTCTGTCGTGTCTTGTCGTGGCGGGGTCAGTGTCAAAGGTGGCCAAGAGCCCCCCCCCCTCACTCCCCCCCTCTCTCTCTCTCTGCAATCCTACAGAGACGTCCGTGAAGCAATTTGGTAGACGTGCCACTCACAGGGCAGGTAGACGGTGTAAGATAAAGCATTTTGTTTTTTGAGCATTTTGGAACGCCGCGGTAAACCTTTGGTTTGCACCGGTAACAAAAGAAATGAGGACTTTTGTATTTTTCTAACATCGGAGGTGAACAGAGGTAAAGAGGTACTTAAGAGATCGGATTATGCAGACAGACTACACACCGCAGGTTGTGCAGAGGGCTTTTTCGGCGTAGCGTTACAGTTGAGTTGCCCAGTCGCCACTACCGCTCATCCTCCTCATATTCATTTGAGTGGCTCCTCTGTGTATTGTGAAGCCACACGTTTCACTGGCAGTGTGCCACACACACACCAAGCCAGAGCCAGGATGTCAACACTTCACCAGCTGGGCAATGCACCTACCCCAACGCAAACTTGGCACGTTAAAACATTTATACACGACAATTAATTTTTAGTTTTTTCGAAAGTGTGTGTGTTTTTTTTTGTAAAGAAAATGCAAAAGTAAAAACGACAAATAACGTTAATAACCGTATTCTACAACTGCACGTTTAGTCAATGCGCGCACCACGCGTGCGTCGTGAGTCGGTGTCAACTTTTCGAGAAGCAACTTCAGCTTGACCAGTTCCGTGTAAAATTGGCGGCACGGTTTAACCGGCCGGCAGGTTGGCCCCCAGCCGGTACGGCTTCCAACACGGCGAGAGGGAGTTGCGCTCCGGTAAGTGCTACAGCCCGTGGTTAAAACGAGGAGATGACGCCGGATGCCTTTGGACCGTAAACAAGACGGCCGCAGAATGTACACTTCACGTCGAGTTAATACTGGCAAATGTCGTTTTTGATTAAAACCCTCCTCAGGTTGGGTTAAACGCCCGCTCCGTTCGTGCGTTTGTCTTCGATGCTGGCTTCCCGTCCGCAGGGGCGCAAAGCAAAATGGAAGATTTCAGTCTCGTGGAGTTTTGAATGCAGCATCACCGAGAAGAAGATGCTCTTCACGCCGTCGCTGCCGTCGCCACCATTGTTGCACCACCGCCGTTGTGACCACGGCGATGTCAAACCACCTCACAATGTTCACGTGGGACCATCCGATCCTTTACAAAAGACATCATCGGCGCGCAGGGTGCGTACGCTGCTCACGGCAGTTTGTCACTTGTTTTCATACGTCACGTATTCTGACTTCTTGTTGTTCTCGTCGTTTTTCGGTCCGGAAAAGCAAGCACTGCCGCCACCTTGCGTAGTAAGCGCCGTGGGCGGCGGTGGAGGTGGTGGCGGTTGGACTTTTGAGGATCGCGTCGCTGGGGAAGGGGGGGGGGGCGAGAACGCACGAGCGACGCGTCGCCCTTCCGCCCGTCCGCCGTTCTCCGAGCCGGCGGACGTGGACGCGTGCCCCCTCGCGCCGTCGCCGAGTCGGCGCCGGCGGCCCCCCTCTCACTCCAGCTCGTTCATCAGCGGCTCCTCCTCCTCCGTGTCCTTGTCATCCTCCAGCTCGGGGCTGTGCGGGGCCGACGCCATCAGAGAAATGGGGACGTTGTTGTCGGCCATCTCCACGCGGCTCCTCTTCACGTGGAAGGGATGTCTGTGGTCGTAGGGCGCGGCATGCGGCCCGGAGGGGAGCGAGGGACGGAGAGAGATGGAGATGTGCGTAGACAGAGAAGGTAGCCAGCCAGACGGAAGAGAAAGAGGAAGAAGTCGATGTAAAGACGGAGAGAGCGTCGGCAGAAAGTAACAGAAGTAAACACGTGGAGAGGCAGAGAGAGACGGAGACACAGCGTGAGGCAGAGAGATGAGGAAGTCATAGGAGATATGGAGGAAGAGTAACCGTGAGAGAGACAGAGACCAAGGAGACAGACAGAGGTACAGAGGAGAGAGAGACAGAGTGAGACGAAGGAACATTAAATACATCGTGTAAATATGCACTGCTCATTCAGCCAACAACACGGCTGGAATAAATCGGTGGGGTTTGTGAATCGAGGAGAGATAGAACCACGTGGTATATGTCCAGCACACCCGAGCAGGGCTGTTAGGGGACCAGTAGAGGCGATATCGTCTCCATTTTTGGCAACCATTATCAGACTAAATAAACATTTGCCAACACAACAAGCAAGCCCCAAAATATTTCACGTGGCCTCTATTAATAATGTGTCTTGAAGACGAGTTAAAAGGTGGCCACTGCTTTTGCAAGGTCGTTCACATTTAGTAATACCACTGTTGCAGTAAAAATGTCTTGGCCACGTGGTAATGTGGAATTGTTGCGAACATATTTTTGGCAGTGGACTGCTGCTTTTGTGTACAGTCACAGATATGACGTTAGCAGACATCACCTATGTAACGTTACCAATGCATACGCATTATAAAGTGTACACACCTGTACATATATATGAATAGACACATACCTACTATAATCACCCAGGAATGTCTGTCCTTAACGCTCGTGACGTCACTACACATCGACCAGCCCCCCTAATTAATATTCATGAGCAGGTGACGTCTCCAAATGGACACCCCCCCAGCCCTCACTAATAAATCATGCGAAAGTGACGTCACTCCACGTCGACCAGCCCCCCTCAATAATCATGAACAGGTTACGTCCTCCACATGGACCCCCCCTCATTAATAATCATGAGCAGGTGACGTCAATCCACATGGAGCACCCTCCCCCCTCATTAATATTCATGAGCAGGTGACGTCACTCCACATCGAACAGCCCCCCTCATTAATAATCATTAACAGATGACGTCCTCCAAATGGACACCCACACCGCCATTAATAATATTAGCGGCTGACGTCACTCCACATGGGGGGGCGAGGTGCCTCCTCCCCCCTCCTCGGCGTCAACTCACAACCCTCACTACAAAGGCAGAACCCCACGTCACGTGATCTCCCTAACGCTATTGAGACATAGAAGTAAAAAGGACGTCATGATGAACAAGGGATTATAATCTTAGCATTAATAGGTCTGTGTCACCGCGCCCTTACAAATTGCACACGAATTGATGCAATGAATATCACGTCGCGGTCTGCTTTTCGCTTGCAAGTTTCAGATTTACTGCGAGACACCCGTCCTTGGACGGGCAAAAGGCGAGTCCATATATAAAAGACAAAGATCCCCTGTGCGGCCTTAACAGACTGTTGGGGCAAGTGCTGTTAGCGAGCACCTATAAATGCCAGCAAGGCACACGAGGGAATGGGTGACCAGCGCCACGTCTGGCTGCCTTTGTCTCCCTAGTGGCGATGTTTACACACCGCACCAGGTACTCATTGAGGCTGAGTCGACTTAGGGGAGGCCCTTGACTGGTTAAAAAAATCATCGATGATGTTGACCGTGAGCAGGACTTGAAGTCGGGTCACCAGGTTCGTAAACGCAGTGCGATAACCACGAGACGACACCACCACTCCCCCATACACACATGCCCACACGCGCATATGCACATGCCTACAAGTGATGAGCTTCAAATAAAAAACACATTTCGAATTTTGAGATGTTTAAGGACATTTTCAGATGTACTTTCTGATCGTTGCCATCTCAAATTTTGCGTTAAGGCCTTACTTCTGATTATTTTTATTTCCGTAATCTGAAATGAGGGCACCCATCCATAACCTCACATACAACTGTATGTACAGTATGACAAGCGATTAATATATTTCGATACAATTCCTGTTTATATATTAACCCTGATACTGTATATATAAAATAATAAGTGCAATGATATTGGAGGTCACTTTCCCGAAATGTAAATCGGCGCGTGTGTGACTGCGCATGCATTTAATATTCAGTCCCCTCGTAAATACGCACACACAAACACGCATATCAATAAACAAGCCAGGCCATACGCTCCCTACATTTATGAATCTGTCTTCGCCCATGAATTTAGCAAAGGGATCCACGCGGAGCCGCGAGTGTGTGCCCGTCATCGGAGAGTAACTGCAGCGCTTAGCAGCACGCGATCAGTAGTTTATCTATCTTTCTGTACACAGTATAATCTATCTATCTGGCTGTCTCTAATCTACCTATGTATGCACTCTGTGTCTATCATAAGTCTACCCTCGGTCAATCTGAGTGCCGTATGGGGCAATTTGAACAATGCACAGGCAAGGGTCTGTTTTGCAACAAACAAGTACTTCTCTGCTCACGCGTCTCGATCGAGGATGTGTTTGCGTTGGGATTCTGTCACGATGTAAATGGTCAGCCCATTGGACTTGCAATCCGCAGGTCACCGGGTTCAATCCCCATAGGCGGTGTTTTAAAACAACAATGGTGCAAGTTGCTGGAAGCCCTCCGCCTCTTATCCACCCAGCAGTGTCAATGGGTTCAACCGCTGCTCATTAATTGGCACCACGCATGTGTGGCTGGAATGGAAGAGTAGGCCAAAGTACAATCGAGAGGGGGGCTCTCTTGAGCTTCCTGCGGTGCAGGCAACTTCCGCCGGCCAGTGGCGTGAGCAAGCAATTGCAGGGATGCACCTTTGTCCATAAGACATCATCAGCGTGAGGGCCGCCACACATTGAAACCATTGTGGGTTTGACAGCAGCACGATGATGATGGTGGTGATGGGGAGTGTTGTCTCTCTGTGTGTATTGTCGGGGGGCCGCACGTCAGGGGCCGCGCTAAAGGCCACTAGTGGCCACCAGTGGCCCGTGGGGGCCTTGCGAAGATTCACAGTATCTAGATCACAGATTCACAGAATCTAGATTCACAGCTTCACAGAATCTAGAACAAGCTGTAGTTGTTGGGAGTGGGGGTGTGTGGTGGCGGGTTTGCCTCCCCCCTCTCCTCCCTGCCCGCTCATTGACATACAATACGGGCGTAAACAAGACGAGCGCAGATTAGCGCGGCCGCCCCGCGCGATGAAATATTGACGGCGGCGATAAATAACGGAAGGCGAGCGGGCGTCGAGGCCAATCACGCCGGCTCGGTGGTGGGGTGTGGGTGGTCGGTGCGGGCGGCACAGCGGCAAACAGGCGCGCCGCCGAGCGGAGCGACGCCGTCCCGGGAGACGGAGTCGCGTGCGACGCGGCGAGCGACTGACGGAGCTGACGGAGCCCGCGGGGGCCGGGGTTTGGTTCACGTCGGGGTTGGGAACGGCGGGTCAAGCGGCGGTCGCTTTGGCCCCAACGGCGCCTCTGGTGAGCGCCGCTCGGTGCCCGCTGCGGCCGCACCATGGACGAACGTCGTCACCGCCGCCGCCGCGTTGCAGGGGCGCACGGACGTCGCCCGAGTCGTTTCTAACGACCGCCGCGGCGTTAACGGCGGCGATTTTTGTTTAGTCGTCCGAATTAAATCGTGGTGCGGTGGTGGCTAAGCACGTGGCCCTGTGATCCAGCACTACGAAGGCAGTGAGGGTTGGCGGATCGCGCAAACGTCGTGGTAAAATTCCCTTCCCGTGGATGCATTCTCCTGGCTTGCTTGCCAGGAGAATGCGGCAAAAATGTGGACTCCACTTGGTTCTGTTTGTATGGGATTGAGTCCCCCCCCCCCTCTCGCATGCGTGGGATTTCTTCCAAGTGCTCCGGTTTCCTCTGGCATGTAAACACTCATTCAATGGCCCGTAACATCTCAATATTTAGAGACGTGCAGAACTTGGAAAGGGAATTTGGTGCCAGGTCATCGCGTGGCCTTTGCAGATTGTCTGTGGTTCCTCCTTGCACCTGAGTCTCTCTTTGAGAGTGAGCAAATGCCGTGCTGCTCACTACAAGTTGAAATTATTATAAAAGGGTATCGGTACAGCCCTGTGATTGCATGCTCATGCCACTGCCGACATAAGGGGCATAGAGTCCCACTAGTGGGTATTTCTGGCCTACTCTTCTACATAAGTTGTACAGGACTGCGGTGAAATATACGATGTATTTTTGCCTTCTAGCAGGAGTGGCTACATTGCCATTATTTTTTTCTCAATTCGGAGATGCGCAACAATTATCGTACTAAGAAATGTCAAAGCATCACAGCCGGTGTTACACAGCAGTAGCTACAGCAGCAGAAACTACAGCATCTACAGCTACAGCAACAGCCGCATCTGCAGCTGCAGCAGCCGCAGATGCAGGAGCCACAGCTGCAATAGCTACAGCAGCTGCTGCAGCAGGTACAGCCGCAGCAGCCGCAGCTGCGTCTGGACGCTGTTGTGTAGCCCCGCACTGCGGTCCACCCTCTGCTGCCGCTGTCGTGCAAATTAACTGACACTTTCTCGTATTTTAAATGCATGAAATTAAATTATTTAAACTTGCCATACAAATTATTTAGACATGATGTATAATGTACGTTCAAACCAATTTGCATATCCCTCTGCCCGCACTCCAAATACACAATATTTTAGCGTTGCAACAAAACAGCATGTGTGTGTGTACTTGGGGAGCGGTGGCGCAGTGGTTAGTGCACTGCACTACAGACCCAGCAACCCGAGCTCTCACTCACAACCGACAAGTGACGATTATTTGCAACGTTCCTGGTCCTCCGCTAGGTCTACGCAGCCTTAAAAATGGGTAGCTGGTGCGGTGTGTAAACATTACCACTGAGGAGACAAAGGCGGCCGGGCGTGGTGCTGGCCACCCACACCCTTTCGCGTGCCGGCCTTCACCGGTGCT